GAGTGCTGGGATTAAAGGCGTGCGCCACCACCGCCCGGCTCTATTGAGTTTTTTAAGTGAGCTGGAAATACATAAATCTACATTTCCATAAGAGAGACAACATCTCATCAATACTTAAATTTCTGATAGGATCAGAAATGAAAACATGAGACGTTTCCATAAAGTTCAAGACTTGAAAGAATGAGTTAGAGGCTGGGGGGATGGCTCAGTGGATAAAGCACTTTTGAAACAATCACAAAGATCTGAGCTCGAATCCCTAGAACCCTCAAAAAGATGGCTGCCATAGCACATCTCTAACTCCAGCACTCCCACAGAGAGACATGGGACAGAGACAAGAGAGTCTCCCAAAGCTCGAAGGCCAACTAGCATGCACAACAGAAAAAAAATAACAATGAGACCCCGTCTCAAACAGCCTGGAAGGTGAGGGATTGAATCCTAAGGCTGCCCTCTGACCTCGACATAGGTCACCTGACATGGGGGGTGGGTTGCTCTTTAAAGGAGTGAATTAAAAGTCCAAATAACCCCAGCTCGTGCATCATCACCTGCCTCAGTCTCCCTCTTTGAGCTCCTTTCCAGCCATCAACTAGTGGGCACAGCTACCAACTGTCCATTGCATCACATGCTTGCCACACTGTCTTAGAACGTGCAAGCTCTGTGATGTGGGTAATATTATTTTTCCCATGCAGATAATTTTTTTTATTGTGGTAAGAACTCTCAATATGAGATTGTCCGTGTTAACAGACAGGTAAGGGTTCAAGAAATTACTGCTGACAATCCATCCAATGTTATAGTTTATCCATCCTGCTTTGGGGAAACTTCATGTCCACTCTCTCCTCTCAACCACCTCCTGGTAAACATCTACCCTTCCACTCCTTGAGTCCACGAATGGTTCTTTTCCAGATGCTGCAAGTACATGAAGTCATACAGTGTTTGTTTTCTGTGCCTGGTTCATTTTACTTAGTATAACGTCCTCAAGGCATACCTGTGCTACTGTCTGTTACAGAATTTCCTTCTTCTTGAGGGCTAAATACTATTTCATTGATTGTAGATGCCATGTCTCCTTTATGCATCTTTCTGTCAATGGACATTCATTCGGGCTGTTTCTACATCTTTCCTATGTGGTCATTATGATTAAACCCATTCAACGGATGAGTCGACTGAGAGTCAGAGAAGTCAAGAAATCCTACAAGTCAAGTAATCTAGTCAGGCCAGGTCTTAACCAGCTCTCCACCTACTCCTTGTGTGCCTCAGCAGTAGCAGCGGTACCTGTGTGAGAAGTTACCCGGGTCCCCTTTCCCCTGCTCCACATGCTGCCTGCACATCCTGCTGCACTTGCCTGCATGCAGTAAATGCAGGAGGAGGCAAGCCAGGCTAAGCCATCCGACTCTAAAGGCCCATTTCTACTATTCTACAATGTCCTTCTCCAACCTGCAATTAAAACTCTTGGGGGCGGGGAGTCTAAAATTCTGGTTCCTGCAGGATAGGCTGTAGCCTGGCATCTTTGGTACCTGTAGGGTCAATATCCACAGGCCCTCTTCCTTCCTTGGGCTGACAGTGCTCAGTAGGTTGCTGGCTTCCAGGGATGTCCTAGCCAGAGAGAGTGGAGTGGAGAGAGAGAAACCACAGCCAATCAGGAAGGTTTTTACTGACAGGAGTCCCAGGAGGGAAATCTGGGGCCATCCCTGTGGAACAGGAATGGAGGAAGGCTGGAAAGGTTCATACAGAAGGAGGTGCTCTTGTGGAATTAGGACCAGACAGGAAAAAGAAAGGAGAAAGCGGTGGCTGGGCTGGCCTGGGTGTCTCTACATCTCTCTGGGGCTGGATGGGCTGAGGCAGGGTAAGTGTGCCCACCTCGATGCCCCACCTGCAGTTCCTCCTGCCATGGATGCCGAGATGAGAGCCCTTGCACCAGCCTGGATGTAGCAACCAGCTGCCAACCTCATGGGGACCCAGTTCAATGAAACTTGCAGAGTTCAATTTTCACCTCAGCCCTAAAACACACAATGAGGACTTGGGTGAGGAACCCTTTAGGATTTTTTTCCTTTCTAATTGGGAAATACACCCGGGAAGGTTAGGGGTGCTGAATAAAGAATCTCTTGGCTGAGTGTGACTAAGTGGCCTTGGCTGTCCCCCCTTCCTTAGGAACTTACCGGATTAGCAGGAAGTCCCCTTCACCCAGACCACTTCACAGCATCAGAAAGAACAGAACATCCTGTCCCCACAGTTCTGCAAGGTCAAATCAATCAGTGGCATCTCCGTCCCCTTTTCTCATCAGAGGCCAGCATGGCTTCCCTCATCAGCATTCTGCCGGCTGGGCGTTGAGGCTACAGGAATTGAGAAGTAGGTCACCCCACCGGCTGGGAAGGCTGCTGTGTGGTTTCAGCTAACTAGGTTGCTGGAAAGCCCCCCTGCCCACAGTTATCCCCTGAGTCACCACCTCACGGTGAGGCAGCCTGCTGCCTCTGTCTACAGCTCGCTTTGGTAAAGAGAGCTGTGCTCTGTGGGGTACAGAGAAGGAAGGGATGTCAGCCCTGAAATCCAACAGCATCCTCCCCATTCACTGGAGACCTTTGAGAGCCTTCCAGAAAACAGCCTTAGTGGGTGAGCACCTGGGAGCGGGGATGAAGACAGCCCAGTCCGTGTCCTAGATTCCTAATGCTCTCATAGAAACGAGCACCTGAACCATAGGAGCTGGGAGCAGAGGTGGCCCAAAGGCCTGGGGGGCTACAGACGGCACAGGTGGGCGTATACAGAGAGACAAGGCTAGGACCAGACGGCATCAGCGTGAGAGTGACCCATATCTAGCCACCCAGTTGTTTAGATCCCCCAGCAGAATCAGAGCAAGGGAAGAGAAAAACACAATAATGATCTCTTCGGGCCGTGTGTTTTGTAAGGAGGTGGCATTTAACCCCTAAGATGCGGGGGACAATCTGGGTATTTTCTGATGGAAACATATGATCAGATATCTATTTCAGAAAGATACCTCTGGGTCTAGGGAGTCTGTTTAATCAGGGAAACGCTTGCAAGACTGGAATTCAGTCTTCAGAACCCATGTCAAAGAAAAGGCATATGTTAATGCCTCACGTTCATCATCCCCACACAAGGTAAACAGAGGAAGGCAGATCCCTGGGGCTTACTGGTCAACCAAGCTAGCCTACTTGGAGAGTTCCAAGGTGTGAGAAGCCCTCTTTCAAGAAAAGAAGTGGACAGCATCTGAGGAATAGCACTCAATTTTTTTCACTGTTGGGAATAAACATCTATAAGCACCAACACATACAAACATGGATATACACACACACACACACACACACACACACACACACACACACACACACACACACACAAACACACACCTCTCTGACCAGGAGGATGTAGGGATAGCTTAGAGATAGGGAGCCAGAGGTGAGGCTGCAGGGACACACTGGGGACCCATTAGGCCTGGGGGAGAATGACTCAGGACAGAGATTGATGGCAGGGACATAAACTCACCCAGTAGGCGACAGTGTGAGGGGAGGGGGAGAGGCAGAACTTCTGATGAGTTGAGAATGATTCAGTCCATCCTCACTTTGTAATACCTGTTGTGCATCCCTGGGTATGTGACCTCATCATTTTGCCTGATCTCCACAGCTCCCTGATATAGAACCTAGGCTTGTCCACATTTTGGGAAAACAAAAACAAAAGAGACACAAAAGGAATCAGAGCACAGAGCTCGGCAATGTTGTTTGAGGGTACCTTCCCCCAGAATCTCTTGTTAACCCCAGCCCGGCACACCCAGCTTCAAGGGTGAGCTGGAAGATCTGGGTGGGTGGTATCACTAGACACAGGCAAGAGAGATGTCAGAAAGAAAGTAGACATAGCCAAAGGACATCATTAACGTGGAAACTTTTCTGTAATATGTTCTAGAATGTTCTATATTTCTGTGCTATCTAAGAGAATACCCAAATGCACTTACTATTGCTGTGGGTACTTAAAATGTGACTACTGGGAATTTTAGCTTTTATTTCATTCTCACTAACTTAAACTACATGTGGGGACTGGTAGCCAGGATAGTCCAGGCAGATCAGGTTTGAGGCCAACATGAATTGTACTTGAAGCACAGTAAGCTCTACCTGGGCTAGTACCACATGACCAACGATTTCTATTTAACAGGTCTAAGCACATGTTACTAGCTCTTCTCACCATTTTTTGGGATAACAGAGACTTATAAAGGTGAGGGAAGGACCCGTCTTCACATGCAGAGAACCAGGGCGCTAGACTGGGGAGCTGGCTCAGTGAATAAGGTTCTTGGCTTGCAAGCATGAGAATCTGGGATGGAACCCTGAAACTCAGATAACAACCTTGGTGGCTCAAACTTGTGTCCGCAGCACCAGGGAGAAACCAAGATGGGAAGAGCTGTGGAGCCAGCCAGTCCAGCCAAACTGAAGCTCTAGGTTCCGTGAGAGACCCTGTCTCAAAAAATCAGGCTGAAGAGCTCCTGAGGAACAGCCCCCAGAGGTGTCCTCTGCACACATGGGCATGCATACATACACCCAAAGAAAACCAGAACACAGCACTCAGTGATGGAGCCTGGGTGCTTAGCAACCCCCATCTCTCTCCCAAGTCCCTCCCAGAGTAGGATGAGAATGCCAGCTTCAGAGTTGGGGACCACAGGTCATTAGTGAATTCACAGCCTAAAAGAGATTGCCTCGGGGTGCATTAGAGATGGAGGGAAGGGAGCCAACATTTCCTAAAGGTGCATAGATACTTAAGGGGCAATGACAGTATAAAGGAACTCTCAAGGAATCCAAAGGAAGTATCTAGAAAACTAGGAGGAAACGATCTTATTTATTTTTCCGAACCACCAGTTCCTTCATGTCTTCATTTCAAACCAAAGGAAAAGAAATTCCCTGGTCATCAGGAAGTCCATCTCTAGTGAGAGCCCCCATGCACAAGAGCGATTGCCCAAGAGAGTGGTCCATCAGGCCCAGAGCAGGGCAGAAAGGTGAAGGCATCCCTGAGACTCTGGTCCAGGGAAGGCTCTTGAGGAGGAGAGCAGCTGCTGCCCTGCACACAGGAGAACTCCCCTGGAGTGCAGTCACCCCCTTGAGTGACCTCAGTGGGTTCTGAGTGGAGAGAGGTCACCATGTCGGCTTAGGGAAGTAGTCTTGCAAATGCAAAGGTCTTGCTAGCAATGAGATGAAAAATGCCCACAACGGGCATGAGGAGACAGCTGGGCATGAGAACCTGAATTCAATCCTCAAAACCCACGGGTGTTTGTTTGTTTGTTTGTTTGTTTTTTAAAAAGCTAGATGTGGCAGTGCATGTTTGTAATCCAAACACAAGGCTCCCTGGCCAACCAGCCCAGAGCCAAACTGATGCACTCCAAGCTGTGTGAGAGATCCTGTCTTGAGAAAACAAAAGCAGCCAAGTGGATGGCACTTGAGAGGACACTTGAGACTGACCTTTGACCTTCTCACAAAAATGTGCACTTGTGTACATGCATGAGCACATGTGAGCATGTGTGCATTCATGCATACATACACTAACACACACACACACACACACACACACACACACAAATACACAAAGAAAGGTACACCTAAATGGTTTCCATGAGTCCCTATGGAATCCTAAGAGTGAGTGGTCCCATTGTTATTTCTAGTGGGGATAATCTAATAACTCAAATGTGAACTAGAAGTATCCAGAGGGGTTCAGTAGTTCCCTTCAACTGTCGCCTGCCAGGGGTAAGCATGTCTGTAATTACCTTCAGGGTTCGTGGTGTGCCACATGCCGTCTGCCAAGCCAAGCCCCTTCTAGTCCATTCTGCTGCTCAGCTTTGAATTGAGCCTTTTCAGAAAAGCCAAAGTAATCAAAAGAAAGTTTCCAGAGAGAGAGAGAGAGAGAGAGAGAGAGAGAGAGAGAGAGACTTACAGATAAATAGTATCTTTGCTCCAAACTCATTGTTTCAAACACAAGATTTTGTTTGAAGAAAAAAAGTGTAATTATGTTGGGGTGGATTGGTAAATTCTTTGACTTCAAACTCAATACTTTCTGCAAGATTTCACCTGTGAAATCTGCAGCCTCTAATTACTGCCTCTCGTGTTAAAAAAGGAGATGCTTTCTTTCTGAGTGGCTAATAACTTTATCAGAAGAGGTAATTATAGACCTGATGGCGGTGGTCAAAAACACAGAAGTGTGTGGATGGCGACATTCTGGTTTTTGAACCTTGAGCGTGGTGCGGCAGGAGACGCTTTCTCCTCTGGCACTCTGTTTGGAGTTGTTGGGTTTTCTTATCTCCCCTGACACACCACTTCTTTTTCAGGGGTGGGGAGAGAAAACATTTAGAAATTGGTCCATTCCTGGATGAATTTCCTCCCTTCCCAGAATGTGGGGGGAGGGACAATCGTCTCCTGTAATTGGACAGTTTGATTGGAGGCAGGTGGTGCTGAGCGGAGGCAAGCAGAGCCACAAAGCTATAGTTTTGGCTTCCAGTGCTCTTCCCCAGCTCCTAGCTCCAGCACTATGACATGGAAATTGGCTCCCCAAACGCCAACAATACATTTAGTCCCCACGTCACCTTATCAGGGAGGACGATTTTCAGCAAACTGGACATCGCACAGACACAGAGCTGGCCTGGGGTACCCACACTCCCCCGGATGTTTTCCCAGGGCATGTTGTTGCTGCCACAAAACGGGGGGGGGGGGCCTTAGGCATGATTCTGGAAGCAATCACACGCTATCATTTGAAAGCATAGTGAGATTTCCCTTTTTCCGGGTAAACTGGCCTCTACGTTGCTCCCGTTGCATTATCTTGAGCTAATATTTGCTTGCAGTATTTTTGAGTCACAAGCCAAGTCAGCGTGGCATTGCAGATTACAAACGTCAGTCCTGAGAAGAGGCCAGACTGAGTGGCCGAGGGAATGAGCAGACGCTGTACCCTACTCCCCTCCTGCCTTTAGGCGAAGTCCTGAGGCCTAATTTTTTTTCTCGAGGGCCAGCTCCTTCACTTTATCCATCAGCCAACAACAGCATTCCTCTTTTTGTACAAAGAAACTGATAGAAAGCCTGGCCCCAGAGAGGCCGATTGCTTTGACCAACATCACACAGTAAGTCAGCAGAGAAGCCACTGCTTCCCCAGACCCTGACTCCAACTGTGTGTCTGTTAGCTTCCGCTCTAGAGCAAAGGCATCATTTGAAACTGCCATTTATACAGATTTTAGAAGTAAAGAGAAGAGAGTGGGCCCTGTAGCTCAGTAAGTAGGATGCTTGCCCAACATCCATGAAACCTTGACCTTGAGACCCAGCACCACAGAAACCAGGCACATGGCCACAGGTCATCCCAGCACTCAAGTGGAGGCAGGGGAGTTACAACTGAAGGTAATCCTCTGCCTCAGCTATATATCAAGTTGGAGGCCTGCATAGGGAAGGCAGAATTAATAGCTCTATTGAATTGCTGTCTTTTGTACACTGTGACAGCTCAGCCACTTCATGTATCTCCCCAAAGATATGTACAACTTGCCAGACGCCCCCTTAGAGACTGAAGCCCAGACAGGGGTGGGTCA